GAATATATTGATTGTGTTCCCTTGTCTTATTTGGCTAAGCATGCCTGTCCCCTGTCACCATTCTTAGTATAGTGCTGTTTCTAATTTTGTGGAGTTCTAATGGTTAAACAGTAATCATGGACTTGGGTTGTCAATGATAATAAGCAATTCATATTCAAGTATTGTTGCTAGTGAACATTTTTACATTCCCGAATGCGACACTGGAAGTTTACAAAAATATAAGGGAAAATGACAAAATCTCAGTTTTGGTGGAAAGTTTTAATACTTCTACCTTGCTATATAAAAAGTACCAAAAGTCAGTAAAGATTTAAACAACATAGTTAACAAGTTTGACCTCTTGATCACATAAAAAACAGTGTACCCCATAAGGAAGAATACTTTTTTATTTTTAAGCATTTATGGAAAAGTTACACACACACAGTTTCTGGAATATAGATTCAGTTTCAGTTATTTCAAATGATTGATATTATGCAGGTTATATTATCTAATCTGATGCAAAAAGAAAAATAAGAAAAAGGAAAAATGTGTATACAGAAAAATTTTAAAATGACACCCATAAACAGCTGAATGATGGTAAAATTAGCACATTATAAATTTATAAGATACTATAGTTAGAGTTTTTAAGTGAAATTTATAGTTGTAAATCCTTACCCAGAAAAGCTTAAAATTAGTGACCCATGCGTTCAACTTAAAATGTTAAAACAGCAGAATTAACACAGATAAATTAGAATAAAATAACAAAAAGTGGAATACAACAAAACAGAAAATAAACATGTAATAGAGAAGATCCTCAAAAGCAAGTGGTGGTAACTTATAAAGAAAGATAGAAGAAACAAACTCGTGTCAAGTTTAAAGATGGAAAAAAAGGAAGAAAATACTAGGACTGATAAAATAAGATATAACTATAGATGCTCTAGGTCCTCAACAAATAAAAAATGTTTACAACTTTGTGCAAATACTTTTACAAAGCTTAAATAAAATACATGTATTGGCCCTTCCCTTGCTAAACTATGGTGTGGCCATTTGCTCTTTGAGTTATGGCCGTTGCCATGTTTCCTGGCTTTGGCCCCCTCCCCTACCTTGGGGAGGTGAATCCCCTGTCTCATTTACTTTCTAAATAAATTTTCTTTTCTTTAAAAAAAAATACATGTATTTCTAGAAAAATAATAATTATTAAAATTGACACAAGAAGAAAGAGAAAACTTGAGTAGTCCTAGAACAATAACCAGTGGTGAAACAATCAGTAGCAAATATCTTCCCATAAAGAAGTACCAGATTCAAATAGTTCAATGGGTAAGTTCTAAGAATAGGTACTTCCCACATTTTTTTATACAAAATCTACCAGAGAATAAAAGTATAGTACTTTTCAACTCATTCAATAAGGCTAGTATAACTAAAAACAAAGAAGGAAAATATAAGAAAGTAAATGTATAGGCCTATGTCAATAATGAATGTTGATATAAAAGACTAAACAAAGTATTAGCTTACTAATTCTAGAACTATGTAGAAAGAAAATTAAGTTCATTCTTGGAGAGCAAGAAAATAGAGTAATAGAACCTACCACGATTACTAATTATCTCAATAAATGTAGAAAAATGTTTGATAAAATACAGCACACATTTCTGGATAAATATTCTATCTCTCTTCATACACAAACACACACACATATCCCCTTTATATTTATATGTGCATGTGTGTATATATATACATATACATATATATGAAGAAAGAAATTTCTTATGTAATTACATATAATTTCTTTGTGATATATAATATGTATCCTTCATATATCATGTATTTATATATACACACATATACGATGGGGAATTTAAAAAAAAACAAGACTGGGTGCAGTGGCTCAAGCCTGTAATCCCAGAACTTTGGGAGTCCGACGGGAGAGGATTTCCTGAACCCACAGGCTCGAGAACAGCCTGGGCAACCTGGTGAGACCTGATCTCTACAGTAAATCAAAAAATTAGCTGGATGCAGTAGCATATGTCTGTAGTTCCTGCTACTTGGAAGGCTAAGGCAGAAGGATCACCAGAGCCCAGCAGGTCAACGCTGGGGTGACCGTGAATGTGAATGCCACTGCACTCCAGCCTGGGTGATGGAGTGAGAGTCCAAAAAAAAAGAAAGAAATTATCTTTTTGGAGGGCATGCCCCTTTTAGTACAGGCTTCCCCCATGAGGTGAGTGTTCTAGGAACCCATTACCATCAGTATACCAGCTAGTATTGTCAAAGACTGCATTACAGAAGAAATGTCTGGAGTTGTGGCAAACAGCTGACTGGTTCTTCCACCATGGCGATCCACCTCACAATAACATGCTGAGTGTTCAGTTTTTGACCCAAAATGGCATGACCTCATGACCCACCCTCCCTGGATTCCCCTGATCCGTCCCTGAGCAACTTTTTTTGTTTCCCCCAATGAAAAAAAAGTCCTCAAAGGGAAACGTTTTGTCAAGGTGGAAGAGGTGAAACAAAAAACAGCAGAAACACTAAAAGGCATCCAAACTGACCGAGTTCAAAAATTCTTTTGAGCAGTGTAAAAAGCATCTCAATAGGTGTATTGTATCAAACGGAGAGTATATTGATGATGACTGAAGTTTAAACATGTAAGAATGAATATACAATTTTTTATAAATAGATTCCAGTTTTGTGGAGTCCCCCCTTGTATATATTTATCTTGATTTATTCTATAAGTGTATGTGTCTAATAAAGAAGGAAATTTCTTCTACCTGTTAAAGACTATTTACCAAAAACCTAAGCAGTGATCACACTTACAGGTAGAATGCTGAAGATACTCCCTTTAGGAAGAAATTCGAGGGAATGACAAATATAAATTCAGAATTCCAGCTACTTCAAAGTAGAGAGGGATAGGGTGGGGAAGATGACACCAAGGCAGGGCCCAAAGGGGTTTTCCTAATGTACTGATACATTCTTCATCTTAAACTGAGTGGTGGAAATATTGTTTTTTATTATATTACTATTTAAATGAATTTCATTTTATGGACACTTTTGGAAATAGGATATCATTGCACAAAAATAGTTTTATGAGTTCATGAGAGACATGCCATATTAATATATATTTTAGAATCATTTTTGAGGATACCTGTTTGTAAAAGATTGAAGGTGAACCCTGAATAAGCAGAGTTTTACCTATGCATTGTAATTTGTCCTGTTCTATTCAGCAGAGTGGAATTAGCAACATGTTTCCCTTCATATAGGATGTCAGAAGGACAAGCTTCAAAGACTAAATTCATTTTTTCTCTCTGAAGAATCATAAATTGTAGTAAATTAGGGATTTCAAATGAATATTTTCAAAAAGTGTTGAAATTAAAGGAAAAATATCATCAATTTAATACACAAAGAAAATATAATCACAATTTTTTTTTCAATTTTTGTTGCATTTGTTACAAGTTCTCTGAATGAGTTTTATAAAATAAAAATATAGATAGCTCAGTAAAAATGGTAAATTGTTTCATTTTTAAGACAATATGACAAAATTTATATTTTTAATTTAGTGATTATTATTATTATTATTATTATTATTATTTTGAGTTGGAGTCTCACTCTGTCACCCAGACCGGAGTGCAGTGGTCGCTCCCGGCCACCGCAGCCTCGATCTGCTGGGCTCCGGCGATCCTTCCGCCTCAGCCTTCCAAGTAGCCGGAATTACAGGCATGCGCTACCATGCCCAGCTGATTTTTTGATTTATTGTAGAGATGAGGTCTCGCTGCCCAGGCGGGTCTCGAACCCGTGGGCTCAGGCAATCCACTCACTGGTGATTTATTTTTAACATGAACCTTTATTTTGTTAAATCTCATGTTTCTTTTCTCTATTATGGTGTTTTTCTCAACGGCATTTTCTTCATGCTGTGCTGATTCTCCTTGCCTGTGAGCTCTCAGAGTTAGGAGAAATATTAATAAGATACTTGAAATATCAGTTGTGTGCCAGTTAAATTTGTAAATAAGCTAGAATGAATTGGTATGTGGTAAAGACAAGATGCTATTAATTAAAAGATAAACCAAGGAAGCGTGTTATTTTGTTGTAGTGATTTGAAAAGTCAGATGTCGACAGACTTATTCCATTCCTAAGAGAATGTTTTGGAAATTAGCTGCAAAACAATTATATTTTTATGGTGTTTTTTAAAATTTTTGACAGGAGCTTTAAAAATCATATAAAGTAATAAATCTAAGATTATTACCCTCACTTAAAAAAAAAAAAAGATATAGTTTAGTATACACTTACCAAAAAAAGAGATGAAATAAATTCTTCAGCAAGCAAACATAGTTTTCTAAGAAATTACTGCTTATTTAAACAAACCCAGCCGGGCTCGGTGGCTCAGCCTGTAATCCCGCGCCTTTGGGAGGCTGAGGTGAGTGGATTGCCTGAGCCCACGGGTTTGAGACCCACCTGGGCAGCGAGACCTCATCTCTACAATAAATCAAAAAATCAGCTGGGCGTGGTAGCGCACGCCTATAGTTCCAGCTACTTGGAAGGCTGAGGCGGAAGAATCGCCAGAGCCCAGCAGGTTGAGGCTGTGGTGGCCAGAAGCGGCCACTGCACTCCAGTCTGGGTGACAGAGTAAGACTCCAACTCAAAAAAATAAATAAATAATAATAAACAAACCCTTAGTAATTCTTTCCAGTCAGTAAAAATGGTGCTATAATTTACATTTGAATTAATAAAATAATAGATTACAATAGATGCATCTATAGTGTGTTCCCTTAACCTAAATTATTACAGCACATTGTGTTTTGTAGTCCAACATGCTAATTTTTTGAACAGCTGAGTAACTATTACAAGCTGTAAGGCTTATTGTTATTTTCCTTCTTGACTGTGCCATCTGTTAGAAACAAAAGCAAAGATAAAAATCTCATTGAACACAAAAGATCCTGTATTGCTTAATATGCCTTCTGTGGAGAGACATCTCTCTGGGAAAAAAAAGAAAAAAGTGATAATGCTGCCTTTTAAAGAAAATCTTTGTTACATTATTGCAGATGGGGAACTCAAGGAGATTTCACCACCACCCATCCTCGGCCTGTGGTCAAAGTGAAACTCTTCACAGAAAGCACTGGGGTCCTGGCCCTGGAAGATAAAGAACTGGGAAGGGTGAGTTGTGGGTCAGCCCTGTGTGTCCAAGGTAGTACGGTTTTAATTTCTTTGGATTCACACTGAAAGTAGACCAGTATGTACTATATGAACTTCTTTTTATGCCTCACATAAAGTCATTTATTTGTCATTTCCCATGAGCTCAGTTTACTGTTGTAATTTATCTATTTATCTAATTATCTATAACACAGAAAGTATTGTGATGTGTTTTGGGTGTGTAAGGGGTACATTTAAGCTCATAGTCATCAACTCAGTTGTTCTCACACATGTGTTCTACTGGCCATTGACTGATAATGGCATTGGACAACTTGCTCTCCTTGGTGAAAGGTAATTCTCATTTAACACATTTCTGTTCATGGGTTATGAAAATTATCTTTATATTTGAAGTCATCTGTTTTTTATGTTTGTTGTGTTTAGGCATAATATCTCCTAAGTGCATTTGTCTCTGTTTATTCTTCCATTTCCTTTTAAGAAGTTGTTTTTCTCACAGCTATTAACATTAAATTACTGTTTCCTATAGTTACCTTTTCATACCTTTTATCCTCTAATCTCAGTATACTCTTACTACAAAAGGCTTCTGTTGGCAGTAAAAGCATTCACATTAGGTAGATTTGTGATCCTAACACCTCTCTATGTGAAGGGTCATCTACAGTCTTATAAATGAAATAGGTGTGTTCTGATGAGCATACTATAAAGTTGTCTTTTGTAATGTGAATCCATCTTACCCAGACCTGAAGACTGTATTTATAGATATTTTCCACAAAATAAACTCTCTGAAAATCTTACTTGAAATTTTTTGGTAATAAGTGATTGCTTGTGCAATGCTAGATGCTGAATAGTATCTAGTATCTAGTACAAGGATCGTCTAAATGTTGGTCATTCTTTAAAACAGAAGTCAGGATTGCTATTCATTTCAAATTCTTGACTTCATCCTCCTTTATGCCATTGGAATGTTCCAATTTCTAGAGTTTTTTTTTTTTTTTAAATCTGTGCCTACATGAGTCTGTACCCACATTCCAGAGACTCTGAGGCTATATTTACAATCCAGATTTTCTCTTCTGTTTTCTTGCTACATGTATTTGTTAATACCTAAGAGAGCTATGCTATACTGTTCATTTAGTCAAGTACTTATATACTTTTGCTTTTTTTTCATTTAACAAAGGTGGCGTAATCTAATACAAGAAACTTGGAGACTACATGTGGTCTTTATGAATTTATTAATTAGGATTTTTCATTTTAACTATTATTATATTAATTTTACCTATTTTCTGATTGTAACTATTTTTCACTATTAGTGTTAGCCATTTTAAGTCTATTGCTATAAGTAAGTTTTTAGCTATTTTTAATTTGTCTCTCTGGTCAAATAATATAGTTAGGCAGTTTTTAAATTGGACACATAAGTGATATGTATTATAGACAATTGTATGTCTGAGAAACATTTTATGCTCCTTTGCTCTCTTCATACAAGAAAGACAACTTATCTTTTCCATGGTTTCCCAGCCTTAACACTATTGATATTTTGAACAGGGTAATTCTTTGTTGGTAGTACTTCTGTGTATTTTACAATATTTACACAATATTTAGCAATACCCAACCTCTAGTCAAATCCAAAATGTCTTCAGACATTGCTAACTGTCCCCTAGAGAGGGGCATGCAAAATCAACTCTATTTGAGAACCACTGATTTATACTGATAACCCCAATAAGTTCCAAGATTATGAATATAATTTACATGGTAATGACTTCCAAATTTGTATTATTTTCTTCCTTGGAGGTTCAGATTTGTATATGCAACTTGCGTACTCAGTACTTCCAATTGGATGTTATTAGATATCTCAAAGTAAGTATTTTTGAAACAGAATGTATTATTTGTATCTCCTATAAAGTCTTCCATAGAGACAGTTGCTAAGGTAATGACCTAGACATTTATTTTGTTTCTCCTTTCTTCACTTTAATACCCAATCTGATTGCAAGTTATGTTAGTTTTTCCTATATTTATTCTGAATTTGTGCATCTTAACATCTCTACTACCCTAATTTGAGGCACCATTATTTCTCATGATAGTCTGTTAGTCTGTTTGCTACTCTCCCATTTACCACCTTGTCCTCTCTGGTTCAGCTTTCACACCTCAATCACTATGATCTATTTGAAATTCAAAACAAATCATTTTTTCCTTAAAATCTCCCAATATTGTCCCATTAAACTGGAATAAAAATCAGACTCCTCATTACAGTATAACAGGCCCAACAGGAGGTTTCAGGGTGTGGCCCTGGGCCAGCAGCATGGGGAAAGTTGTTAGGTATGCACATTCTCAGGCCCAACTCCAGATCTGCTGAATCAGAAACTCTGGGAATGAAAGACTTGCAGTTTTGATAAGCCTTCTTGGTGATTTTAGTACACATCAAAGCTGAAGAACCCCTAACTTACATGAACTGACTTCTGTCTCCAAATTCAGCATGTTATAGCCTCCTTGTTTGCTATCATTTTTCCTTTTCACCTGGCTTTCCTTCTATTCCTCAAATATCTCAGACTCCTACCTGCTTCGGACTTTAGATTTTACATGTGTTTTAGTCTGGAAACACACACACACACACATACACACACACACATACAATATTAGAAAAAATTGGTGGTAATCTCTGGATGGTAGGGTTATTGGTAATGCCTTCTATATCTACTTTATAATTAGAAAAACAGCAACATTTTTTAAGTATTAAGGAAAAGAGCCTTATGTGATCCAAAATCTATTGTTTAAAATTTGATGAATGTATGTCTGGGGAGCTTGGTTTTTAAAGTGAAGATTTTTTTAAATTAAAAATTTATATAGCATTTAAATTTGAAAGACAAGCAACCAAGCACTTAAAATAGGTTTACACCACAGCAACATACCACTGTACACCTACTAATATGGCTAAAATACAGAAACATTGATAACAAATGCTGGTGAATTTTCAGAGCAGAAACTCTTGTTCATTGCTGGTGGGAATGTAAAATTGTACAGGCACTTTGGCAGATAACATGCCAGTTTTGTATAAGGTTAAACATAGACTTACCACATGACCCCACAATTGCACTCCTAGGTATTTACCCAAAGGTTTATGAAGTTTGCGTCTACATAAAAATATTATATGTGAATATTTAAACAGCTTTATTTATAATCACTAAAAATTGGCAGCAACCAAGAAGTTCTCTAATAGGAGAATGGATAAACGAACAGTGGTACATCCATATAACAGAATACTGTTTAGTAATAGAGACAGGCTAGTAGCTCACACAACAACATAAGTAAAACTTAAATGCAAATGGAAGATGTCAGACCCCCCCCCCAAAAGACTGCATAGTATATAGTTCCATTTGTTCTGGAAAACAATATAGAAGACAGTTGAGGGTTTGCCAAGGATTGAGCAAAGGGGGAGTAGTTGCCTACAGAGGACACTTTTAGAGTGAAGAAACTGTTCTGTATAGTATTGGGTGTTAAATGAATACTTGTGTGTGTTAGCCAAAACCTCTCTCTCATCCTACCCACACATCAACAAGTGGCATGAAGGGAATCCCAGCATGGAATGCGGAGATAACTGAAATGAATTGTATTGCAAAGACATGACATAGCTTCACTGAAATGGTTTATGGGAAAAGAAACAGACTTAAGTAGCCAAGGGAAAAATATAGTCTGAACTGTCTTAAAAACCAACTAATGAAAACTAACACTAGTCATGTCATATGACTATCCTGTACCACTTAATGTGATGTCATGAGAGGACATTTTCCCTTTGTGCTATTCTTTCCTGAAGTTCCAACATAAACCCAGGCTAATCATGAGAAGAATATTAGACAAACCCAGACTGGTTATGTTGTATAAGATAATTGGCCAGTACTCTACAACAGGGGTCCCTAACCCACGGGCTGCAGATAGGTACCCATCTGTGGCCTGTTAGGAACCAGGCTACACAGCAGCCGGTGAGTGGCAGTCAAACTAAGCTCTGCCTCTGTCAGATCAACTGTGCCATTAAATTCTCATAGGAGAGAGACCCCCCACTGTGAACTGTGCATACAAGGGATCTAGGTTGCACACTTCTTGTGAGTAGCTACAAATACAGATTAAAATTAGCAATGAAGCCGGGCTCGGTGGCTCAGCCTGTAATCCCGCGCCTTTGGGAGGCTGAGGTAAGTGGATTGCCTGAGCCCGCGGGTTCGAGACCCGCCTGGGCAGCGAGACCTCATCTCTACAATAAATCAAAAAATCAGCCGGGCGTGGTAGTGCATGCCTGTAATTCCAGCTACTCGGAAGGCTGAGGCGGAGAATC